TACTGGCCTGAGAGAAACTGGAGAAACCCTGAGAGTAGGGCCCCCAGACACTCTTTTAGCTCAGTAATGAAGTCACTCCTGAGGTCCACCATTTAGCGAAAGATTAGAGAGCCCCATAAAACAAAACAAGACTAATGGGGCACAACAGTCCGGGGACAAGGACTAGAAGGCAGGTGAGGACAGGAAAGCTGGTAATACGGAACCCAAGGTTGAGAAAGGACAGTGTTGACATGTTGTGGGGTTGTTAACCATTGTCATAAAACAATATGTATACTAACTGTTTAATGAGAAACTTCATCTAAAGTAAGATTAAAAAAAAAAAAAGAATAACTTTGACACATTGACACTAATAACCGAAGCCCAGACAAGCTGTGGGAAGACATCAAGGACATCATATATGAAGAAAGCAAAAGGTCATTAAAAAGACAGGAAAGAAAGAAAAAACAAAAATGGATGTCAGAAGAAATTCTGAAACTTGCTCTTAAATGTAGAGTAGGTAAAGTGAATGGAAGAAATGATGAAGTAAAAGAGCTGAGCAGAAGATTTCAAAGGGCAGCTGGAGAAAACCAAGTAAGATAATGTGCAAAGACCTGGAGTTAGAAAACCTAAAGGGAAAAGCATGCTTGGCATTTCTTAAGCTGAAAGAACTGAAGAAAAACTTCAAGCCTCGAGTTGCAATTTTGAAGGATTCTATGGGAAATATACTGAATGATGCAGGAAGCATCAAAAGCAGATGGAAGGAATACACAGAGTCATTGTATCAAAAAGAATTGGTGCATATTCAACCATTTTAGGAGGTAGCATATGATCAAGAACCAACGGTATTGAAGGAAGAAGTCCAAGCTGCAATGAAGGCATTGGTGAAAAAGAAGGCTCCAGGAACTGACAGAATACCAATTGAGATGTTTCAACAAAGGGATGCAGCACTGGAAGTGCTCACTCGTCTATGACAAGAAATTTGGAAGACAGCTACCTGGCCAACTGACTGGAAGAGATCTACATTTGTGCCCATTCCAAAGAAAAGTGATCCAACAGAATGCAGAGATTAACAAACAATATCATTAATATCACACATAAGTAAAATTTTGCTGAAGATCATTCAAAAGCAGTTGCAGCAGTGCATCAACAGGGAACAGCCAGAAATTCAACCTAGGTTCAGAAGATGTGGAATGAAGGATATCATAGCTGATGTCAGATGGATCTTGGCTGAAAGCAGAGAATACCAGAAAGATATTTACCTGTGTTTTATTGAATATGCAAAGGCATTTGACTGTGTAGATCAAAACAAATTACAGATAAGATTGCCAAGAATGAGAATTCCAGAACACTTAATTGTGCTCATGCAGAACCTGTATATAGACCAGGAGGAAGTCGTTCAAATAGAGCAAGGGGATATTGCATAGTTTAAAATCAAGAAAGGTGTGTGTGATGGTTGCATCCTTTCACCATACTTATTCAATCTCTATGCTGAGCAAATAATCCAAGAGGCTGGGCTATATGAAGAAGAATGTGTCATCAGGATTGGTGGAGAAGACTTATTAACAACCTGTGATATGCAGATGACACACCCTTACTTGCAGAAAACGAAGAGGACTTGAAGCACTTACTGATGAAGATCAAAGAACACAGCCTTCAGTATGGATTACACCTCAACACAAAGAAAACAAAAATCTTCACAACTGGACCAATAAGCAACATCATGATAAATGGAGAAAAGGTTGGCATTGTCAAGGATTTCATTTTACTTGGATCCACAGTGAATGCCCATGGAAGCAACAGTAAGGAAATCAAGATGTATTGCATTGGGCAAATCTGCTGCGAAAGACCTCTTTAAAGTGTTAAAAAGCAAAGGTGTCACTTTGAGGACTAAGGTGTGCCTGACTCAAGCTGTGATTTTTTCAATCATCTCATAGGCATGCAAAAGCTGAACAATGATAAGGAAGACGGAAGAATTGATACCTTTGAATTATGGTGTTGGTGAAGAATACTGAATATACCATGGACTGCCAGAAGAATGAACAAGTCTGTCTTGCAAGGAACACAGCCAGAGTGCTCCTTAGAAGCGAGGACGGCCAACCTTGTCTCATGTACTTTGGACATGTTATCAGGAGGGACCAGTTGTGGAGAAAGACATTATGCTTGGAAAAATAGACAGTCAGCGAAATAAAGGAAGATCCTTGACGAGATGGATTGACACCGTTGTTCAACAACGGTCTCAAACATAACAATGATTGTGATGATGGCACAAGACTGGGCAGTGTTTCACCCTGTTGTACGTAGGATCATTATGAGTTGGAACTGACTTGACAGCACCTAACAACGACAACCTAAATTAAAACCCTATAATTCTTTGACACCTCAAGTAGTTTAATCAGTAATGTTGACCAAAGATCCAGTATGAATGACTTTTTCTTTAAGTACAAATATGAAATGCATAATCAATTTAAGTCATCTCTCTGAGAAAAAATTCTTGGAGATATGTTCAAAAATACTCAACTCATTTACATATTTTTAAAAAACTGTTGCCGTCAAGTCGATTCTGACTCATGGCAACCCTATAGGACAGCGTAGAACCACCCCATAGGGTTTCCAAGGAGTGGCTGGTGGATTCGAACTGCCAAATTTTTGGTTAGCCGCCAAGTACTTAACCACTATGACACCAGGGCTCCCGTTTATATATTATAATTAAAAAATAGTTACTTCTATACAAAATATATTTTAAAAACAAACAAAACTCTTGTGCTCCTAAGTTCTTACAATTTTGAAAATGAGAAAGAAGAAAAATCGATCTCTCACTGAGTCTTGGTCCCAGCCACAGGGCAATATTCTTGCTCTCAAGGGCTCCCTGCCACCACATTGGGTTAACTGCTCACCCAGCCTCCTCCACAAACCAGAACCTCCTCCAACTGAGTGTATCTCTGTCTCCATTCCCCCCACCTTCCAGCATCCCTTTTCTGAGGCAATATTGTTACATGAAATCTGGCTTAGGTTGACCTAATTGTCCCAACTCTTACTAGCTCTGTGAACTTCGTCAAGTTATGTAATTTCTCTGGGTCTTCATTTCTTTATTTATAAGAAGTTAACAATAATAGTACCCACCTGTTACAGATTGAATTGTGTTCTCCAAAAGTTACTCTGAAGTCCTGACCCCTGTACTTTAAATATGATCCTGTTTGGAAATAGGGCTTTTCTTTTGTTATGTTAATTAGGTCATACTAAAGTAGAGTAGGTCCTAAATCTAATCCCTTCTGAGTGGTATCTTATAAAAAGAGCAGAATACACACACAAACAAACGTGTGGGAGAGACAGATGCCATGTGAAGATGCATCTGCAAGCAACCAAGGAACGCCAAAGATCCTGAGGCTACAACAAGGAAGGACCCTTCCTGAGAACTGATGCCCTGATTTGGATTTCTAGCCCCCAAAACTATGAGACAATAAATTCTTGTTCTCTAAAGCCACTTGCTTTCTGGTATCTTTTGTTAGGGCGGTATTAGGAAAGTAAGACATTACCTTTTTTAGGGAAACTGGAGGACTAAATTAGTTGATTCTTATTAAGTGCTTAGAACAGAGCTTTGCCCATGGTAAGCTTAAAAATAAGTGCTAGGTATTATTGTTATTCTGAAATGATTGCTGCAAAAACAAGTAAGTTATAAGGGATTCAACATATTAAATACTGCCATTTTTAAAATAATTTACAATTCAATTTCAAATGAAAATTTTTTTTCCAGACAAGACTAGCAAGTAATGCTGTTTCTGGAAATACAGATTGATTCTCTGGAAGGGTATTTGACAGTAGCTAATCAAAGCTTTAAAAAGTGCCAGTTCTTGGGCCAGAAGTTTCATTTGTAGGAATAACATGGATGTGAGCCAGAAATTCACTATAAGGATGATCACTGTAGCCTTGTTTATAAAGGTCAAATTTTCTGATGAAATAGTTAACCAAATTATGGTGTAATCATGTAATAGAATATAATGGATTTATCAAAAAAGATGTATACTGATTTTTACAGACATAGAAAGATACTAAAAATGTTTTGAGTGAAAAACAAGTCCCTACATAGTACGTATAGTTTGAACTCTAATTTAAAAATATGGACACATAGAAAGTTCTGGAAGAATAAACGTCAAGGAGAGAATAGTAATTATATCTCTGCGTACTGGATTTCTGAGAATTTAACAACTTCTCTTAGCTCATTTTTATTTTCTAATTTCTCTAAATGAGTTTAGAAATTTTTAAAAATTCAGTATGGTACTATAACTAATTTTTTTCTCTCCTTCCTTGCTAGTTTTCTAATTTTTTATAATGAACATGTATTACTTGTTAAAAGGGGAAAAATTTATTTCAAACCATACTAAACCTTTGAACAAGGTTAATTGCTTCCTGCAGCCAGGAAACCTGAATCCTTACACAATTCCAGAAAGTCTTAAGACAATCCGAGACCCAAATGGATCTGGAAAGTCCAAATTTATGATGGATAATCATATTCAGTTGTGAAAGGATCTGTATTTTTTAACTCCTGTACCACCAGAGGACACACAAGGAGGCTCCTCTAATATTCTTTCCTGTTACTTCTTTTAATATCATCAACTTGTTTCACTAAAGTGAACCTGACTTCTGGATCATATTCATTCACCCGCCAGGGAAGGGAACAAGTAAAGAGGGAATGGAAGAGGCAAGAGTCCTGCTAGGAACAAATCAAACACATCCTTGAAAAATACTGAAAAAGTACTTGGAAGCTTAAAGAGGAAATAAACCCCTCTCTTTTCATCCAAAAAAATTTTCTATAGCTCTGAATTTAGCCACTGTGGAAATCAGATAGGATTAAATTGAATTCTGTAAGCAAGACAAGAAGATCATGTCTAGGATCCACATTGCCAATGGACTGGGATTTCATTAATCATTTGCTGGCTTGGCTAGAATGCTTTAAATAGAAATCTCTTGAAAACTGAAACTGTGGCTTTAATTTGAAGAGTTGTGAGAATGACCTAAGCCTTCACCTGTAAACTCCAGACATCCTCCTGCTCCACAGCATGAACTGGCTGCCTCAGGACCAGTGGGTTCCCTTCACAGTAGAATTCCTTCAGCTGCAGGTTCTGAAACTTTTAAAACAAGAGAAAAACTTTATTTCCTGACAAAATAACAAACTTTACCTCGAGGCTACGTCTTCAATAAAATTAGAGTAAAATTACTTCCATTAGTTTTTTTATATATTCCACATTAGTATTTTAAGTGTAGTGTTAAACACTTAAGAATCTTCATGCTGACATGAATGGCAATGGCATCCCAAACACTGGATAGCTAAGAAAACTTGTTCTGGGTCATTGAACTGGTTAGTAAAATAAGAGGAGTTCATTAATCAAATGCTGGGAACATTTTGTTAATACTGTATTTGTTGGAGAACCAAGACAAGGAGGATCCTTAAATGCATATTTCTAAGTGAAAGAAGCCAGTCTGAAAAGGCTACAAACTGTATGATTCCAGATAACATGCCCACATAGATAACACTCCCATGCATATAATGCACATAGCGCACTTAGGAAAATAATGTGCAAGGGGATTGCGTGGTTGGCAAAAAATGTATAGTATGCACATTATTTGTGTGAAAATATGGTATATGACATTCCTGAATAGGCTACAAACTATATGATTCCAACTATACGACATTTCTTGAAAAGGCAAAACCATACACACAATAAAAAGATTGGTGATTGTCAAGGGATGGGTAGAGGGATAAACAGGTGAAGCACAGGCATTTTTAGGGCAGTTAAACTAGTCTAGTTGATACTGTAATGGTGGTTATATGACGTTATGCATTTTTCAAAACCCATAGCACTGTAGAACACAAACGTACGGTAAACGATGGACTTCAGTAAATAATAACGAATCAATATTGGTTCATGAATTGTAACAAATGTACCACAGAACGCAAAATGTTAATAACAGAAGAAATGTTAATAATAGGAGAAGCAGTGCACAGGAGGGAGAGGGAGTATATGGGAACTTCTTGTACTTTCTGCACAATTTTTCTGTACACCTAAGACTGCTCTAAAAAATAAAGTATTACTGAAAAAGAAAAAAAATGACGATGGCTAAAAGGAAGTGCATTTCATTTCAGGAGTCATGTTTCTCTTGTGTCAAGTCCACACCACAATCCCGTCAGTATTCTTGCATTAAACATGGTAAAACGTTCCCCAGCTTGCTAACTCACTACCCATAGTATATCAGAAATACGTTATCTTAAATGAAAAGAAAATTCAATACCATGTGTTTTGCAGCAAGTGAGTTTCAATAACCTAAAGTCTCACAATCTCTCAATGTCTTCTGAGCATTCCCCAGGGCAACACCTTTGCATACCCTGTTTCTATATGCACTACTGGGTTTTCTGTGGCTTCCTAAGAGAAGAGCATTCTTTGCTAACATGATCACTCCTGCAGTATGATCAGCTACATCCTCCTCTGATAATAAAATATTGTTAGGGTCTTTTCTGAGTGACTTTGCACATGCCTATTCAAACAACCAGTGCTATCGGTTTAGAGAGGTGGTTGTCAACTAGGACCATTATGCCCACCCACCCTCGGGGACATGTGGCAATGTCTGGAGACATTTTTGGTTTTCACAATCAGAAAGGGGGTGCTACTGGCATCGAGTGGGTTGAGGCCAGGGATGCTGCTAAACATCCTACAATCCACAGAATAGTGTCCACAATAAAGGCTGAAAATGTCAATAGTGCTGAGGTCAAGAAATCCAGGTTTACCGGAACAAGACCATAAAAAGGCACTGACTCTTGTTTGCAAGGGGGGTTGGCAGCTGGAGGGAGATGAAGGTTCAAATGAGGGTTTTTATTTTTTTAAGATGAAGAAGACTTGAGGATGTAGAAGTTAGGGGCCAATATGGAGAGATTTAATACAGAAGGAGAAAAAAGAAGCAATAATAGAAAAAGTAATGATCATGTGAAGAACACAGAATGATCCTTGAATACTAATATCTTTGAATTATCTTCTTCTTTGAGGCAGGAGGAAAGGATGTGTAGGTTCACCCATGGATAAGCCTGAAGGTGTGGGAGTGGATAGCTGAAGGAGTTAGACATGATCCCTTCAATTGTATCTTTGATATAGAGAAAGACCATTTGCCAATTCAGTTATGAAAAGTCATCAGTGTGGAAGGAGACACAAACTGGTGAAGGTGTGGAATATGCTATAGGTTTTGGGAAAGGAATCTGGCCAGGGAAAGCAAATATTATACAGAGGTTCTGAGGGACCCACTGGAACGTACACATTTATGGTGGCCCCTATCCACATAATGCTGTACGTCCCTTTAGCACTCAGCAGCTCAACTCCAAGACTGAGAACCTGCAGGATAGATGTGTCAGAAAGTAAGGAAATAAGCATGCTGTGTGTACTAAAAAGCGAATGGTTGGATTGGCCCTTCATGGTCTAGTCTGGGTAGAAAAAGTTATAATTGTACAAAGCTCTGATGGACTAGGAGTAAAAGTAGAAGTCAGGATATGAAGTCTCAACGAAGTAAAAGAAGTCGTGAATCTAAAAGAATAACACAGCTGGAATATAGGAGAATGCTATGCTGTTGTTGTTGTTGCTGCTAGTTGCCATCAAGTCAGTGACCTTACGTATAATAACAAAACGTTGCCCGGCCCTGTGTCATCTTCATGATCATTGGTATGTTTGAGTCCACAGATTGCTATACTACACTTTCATTCTTCAAATTTAGAGCAGGTGAAGATGATGTTAAGATCCTGGACATGACTGTGGTTTGCTGAAGCAAAGTCTGGGAAGCTCATTAAAATCAAGTGTTCAAGGAAGTTTGAGGCTAAGTTGTTTGTATAGACCACCTTTACAAACCAACTTCCTGAGCTCTGGTCAAATATCTGGCTGCCTACTGAACATCTCCAGCTGGAAGCTCCACAAGCATCTTGAACATTCCAAAATGGAACTCTTTATGTTCTCACCAAATTGTGCTCTATCCTTTTCCTCATTACCCACATCAAATCTCTCACAAACCTGTTGCCGTCGAGTCAATTCCAACTCATAGCGACCCTATAGGACAGAGTAGAACTGCCCCATAGGTTTCCAAGGCTGTAACCTTTACAGACAGACTGCCTCATCTTTCTCCAGTGAAGTGGCTGGTGGATTCCAGCCGCTGAGCTTTTGGTTAGCAGTCAAACACTTAACAACTGCACCACCAGGGCTCCATATGTCCTGTCAATTGTACTCCTTAAAATTTCTGGAATCTACCCTTTCTTCCAGATCCCTGGGTGGGGAAAACTGTTAAGTGCTTGGCTACTAGCCAGAGGTTGGTGATTCAGACCCACCCAGAGGCACTTCAGAAGGCAGGCCTAGCAATTTGCTTCTGAAAGCTTACAGCCTTGAAACTCCTGTGAAGCAGTTCTACTCTGCAAGGTACAAAATCAGCAAGTCCTTTTGTTGGGAAAAATGCTTCAGACTAGCCTGAAGTAATGAGGGAGACAGGAAGGGGGCTAGTTTAGCCAGAGCAGTGTTAACGTAAACCGGGGGAAAGGAGGATGAGGTTCCACCTGGACTCAGAAATAGAACTGATAAGTAGCCTATAGCAAATGACTGAGTATTCTCACAGGTTCACCCTTTAGAAAGAATTGGGATTTTTAAATAAACTGAAGGCTGACTTGCAAAGAGGATAAGATTTAAGTGTGAGGGCTATGGCATCCATAAAATACAGTAAACTAACAATTCTAAAAAGGATAGGAATAAGATTTGTGACCAGTAGGAAATCCAAGAAAATATATGATAAACCTTGATATCTAATCCAAATTGTGGAGTGATTAGGCTGATTATATCACCTGAACATATGAAAGCCAAACAACTGCACTGGGAACTCATTCTCACATACCCCGCATGGGTGGGAGGGAGAAAAAGGGAGAGAGTGATTACAATCAGAATCCTTCAGTATCTGCTGGATACTTTTCCCAAGAGAGGACCTTTTGAGGGAATTGAAGAGAGGAGGCCAAGTATGAGTCCAGTATGGAAGGAGATAACTGAACTCTGAACTCCCAGGCCGTAAACACACACACACACATACACACACACACAACCACACACACAACCACACACACCTTCCTCATTCTGACAGGTGAAAAGGAGCTGAAAGCCCCAAAGCCCAAACACTTTCTTGCCCTCAAACCCTGGGCCTTAAAGCTGAAAGGAGAGTGGCTCTGGCGCCCTTTTCAGACCTCTTGATTTAAAGATCACGGTAGAAAGAATGGAAACCCTGGTGGTGTGATGGTTAAGCACTACAGTTGCTAACCAAAAGGTTGGCAGTTCAAATACAGTAGGCACTCCTTGGAAAGTCTACGGGGCAGTTCTACTCTGTCCTGTAGGGTTGCTATGAGTCGGAATTGACTTGACGGCAACGGGTGGTTTGGTGGTTGTTCTTTGTTTGTTTTTTGGTAGAAAGAACGGAAACCCTGGTGGCGCAGTGGTTAAGAACTATGGCTGCTAGAGGTTAGCAGTTGGAATTCACCAGGCACTCCTTGGAAAGCCTGTGGGGCATTCTAATCTGCCCTATAGGGTCACTATGAGTTGGAATTGACTCCACAGCAATGGGTTTGTTTGTTTTGGTTTTGGTTTTGGTTTTGGTAGAAAGAACCCTGGTGACACACTGGTTAAAGCACTCAGCTGCTAACCAAAATGTCAGCATTCAAACCCACCAGTGGCTTCATGGGAGAAAGATTTGGCAGTCTGTTTCCTTAAAGATTTACAGCCTTGGAAACCCTATGGTTATGAATAGAAATTGGCTCAACGGCAGGGTTTTTTTTTTTTGTTTTTTTTTTTCGGTTTTTTCGGTAGAGAGAATGAGAATCCCTGGATAGTCCAAATGGTTAATGCATTCCATTGGAGGTTCAAATCCACCCAAAGGCACCTCAGAAGAAAGGCCTGGTGATCTACTTCTGAAAAATCAGCCATTGAAAACTCTATGGAGCATAGTACTATTTTGACATATATGGGATCACCATGAGTTGGAGTCAACAGTAACCGGTTTCGTAGAAAGAACAGCTGATCTGGGAGGGCTTGTTTGTATCACCTCATAGTCTCCCTGCCATCCTAGATTT